ACTTCTGCTACAATCAAGGTCTTCAATCTTCTAGTTCCTAAAATATCTCCATATTTAGAAACAACATTTTCTTCAAATATTCTGATTGATTCTTGATTGATCTTCAGATTCTCCATAAGAAACGCCACATATATTCTCAGAATATTTAAGTACCAGAACTGTAACTGAATTACCAATTCCGTTGGCGTGATGTCTAGTCAGATGTCATGACATTACATCTAACATGTTGTCCCATATGTTGAACTTCTTCAATACAACATGTTTAGGAGAACCACGCTCATTTGCTGATAACCTCTTTCATAAATTAGATCACTTAAAACAATTAGGTTACATGTCACAGCTGTTACAAACATTCAACATATAACATAGTTAACTAATATTAACTTAATTTCAGGCGCGATGTCATATGCTGATGTTGTAACATTTTACATAACATGTTGGTCCAGATGTTGAACTTCTTCAACCCAACATATTAAAACAACAGAGGGAATATGGGTAAACTTGCTTTCTTATTTGTTTTACAAATGAAGCCAACTCTCCAGCCAGGGCACTTACAACGTCTAAATTTTGGGAAGGTTTGCAGAATGTTTTCGATACTAAGTTGAGGTTGAGTTTTGCATATCATCCGCAGACAGATGGTCAGACAGAGAGGACTATTCAGTCATTGAAGGATTTGCTTAAGGCTTGTGTATTGGAACAAGGAGGAGCTTGGGATAGCCACTTGTCATTGATTGAGTTTACATACAATAATAGTTTCCATGCAAGTATTGGTATGACACCGTATGAAGTATTGTATGCTAGGAGGTGTAGAACTCCATTGTTTTGGTATGAGTCAGGCGAGAGCGTTGTGCTCGGACCTAAGATTGTGCAGGAGATGAATAAAAAGATTAATATAATCCAAGAGAGGATGAAAGATTCTTATAGTCTCCACAAGAGTTACCATGACAAGAGGAGAAAGGCTCTTGAATTCCATAAAGATGACCATGTGTTTTTTAGAGTTACTCCAGTGACTGGTGCTTGTAGAGCTTTGAAATCGAGAAAGCTTACGACATGTTTTGTTGGTCCATATTAGATATCGGAGAAGATAGGTAAAGTGGCCTATAGGATTACGTTACCACCGTCGCTTGAGAATCTTCATGACGTGTTTCATGTGTCTCAACTGGGGAAGTATATTCCAGATCCTTCGCATGTGATCCAAATGGATGATGTACACGTGAGAGATAACCTGACTACTGAAGCATCACCCGTGCGGATGGAAGGACCGGGAGTGATGAAATTGCAGGGTAAAGACGTCGCCTTAGTAAAGGTATTCTGGGGTGGACCAGATGTGGGAACGCGAGAATCAGATGAAAGAGTCTTATCCAATTTTGTTTCCGCCAGGTAATTTTTGAGGGTGAAAGTTCTTTTAATTGGGGAGAGTTGTAACACCTTAAAATAATTATATTATTTATTTAATTATTTAATTATGAATATTGTGAGTATTTGTGATGTATCTATGAGTATAAGTGATGTTTTGATGTATGTGAAGTGATATTGGGGGTTTTAGTTATTTTAGATGATTAGTTTTGATTATAGAATTATTAGTAATTAACTGAATAAAATAATAAGAGATAGAGACTATGAGGACAAGGTGGTAATATTGTGATGTAAGTGAGGGTAAGTTGGGAAGACTATAGAAAGGGTCCAAGGGTTACACAAGGAATAGAAGTAAAAATGTCTCATTCTGTGCGGGCGTAAAAGTGAGAAGAACACCGTGAAGAGAGTTAGGGCACTGAAGAACTCAGAAGGTTCTGTAGAACGCAAAGAGGAATCAATTTCTAGGAAGAATCTAAGATAAAGGGAGTTTATCGTTGTTATTATAATCGATCTAAGGTTTAGATAATTGTAGGTTTGTATTAGGGTTTTGGTTAATGATGTTAAGATGATGATTTGATGAGAAATGATGAAATTGTGATGTTATTTTGCTATGAATTGATGCATATGATATGTAATAAAATGTGTTGTTATTGTGATGTTATTTTGCTATGAATTGATGCATATGATATGTAACAAAATGTGTTGTTATTGTATTATGAAACTATATGAATTTGTGATGAATTGAGACCTGTAATATGAATAAATCATGTAGAAATTCAACTGGTGCAGTGCAGGGATCTCAATAGGGAAATCATGTCGCGCTGGCTCATGGGGCGAGCATAATGCGTCACCAGGCAAAGGAAGTTTCGCCCCTGTTGCACTGGCGAGCGTGAGGCGAAGGAAATGTGTGAAAAAAAGATCCCCTGGACTGTTGTATGAGAGAAAAGAACCCACTCAAGCTTCGTCATGCAAAGCAGAGGCAAGGGGTGTCTCACCGGGCGAGCGAATAGCTTCGTCGTGTAAAGAAATTGGAAGAAAAAAAGCTCCTGGAATTTGTATAGGGGATAAGCTGTCGCTCCCGCCTCACCGGGCGAGCCTCAAGCGAGCAACCTACTTCGTCGGGCGAGCCTCGAGCGAGGGACAACATGCAGGAATTTAAAAGTGTCGTAACTTGAGTTCCCAGACTCCGTTTGACACGCCGTTTAAAACGTTAGATAGCTAACGTAATGAACTATAATTAGGTGGAAGTAAATGAGTCAATTGATGTGTTTTCCAGTGTCTTTGCTTTGATGAATAAGATGATTTGGTGATTTTTCTATTGAGATGTATGCGTATATGATGAATTGTCGTTGCTATGATGATGACGTGTGTAATATGAAGAATGTGATGATATTATGATGATTATATGAATGATGATGTATTTTGAATAGCAGTGGTCAAGTTGTTATTGACATGTTTCACATCATGAATTCATGGCATATGATTAGGAGTTCGGTCCAGTGATGTTACTAGGACTTCAGTGAAGTTTATAGGACAAATATTCCAGTGATGGCCTCAATCCCATAGCGTGGATTTGAGTGAAATTTTATGATGTGCTCTGGTTCCAAGCGGGAATCGATCTTAATGGTGGGGATCTTTGAAGAAACGATGACTGAGTCATTAGTTAAGTTTTGATACCAAATACATGAGTCAATGACGTTGCATTGCATTATATGTGATATTGTATAATGATTTATTAAGTGATGTTTTGTGAATATGTGAACTAATGATGTCTTAATGATGATTGTTGACTAATGATATGAATAAATAATGAACTGAAGGTGTGAGTATAATATGAAGTTTGATGGTGTGTGATGTCTTGCTATTGTGCTATAACTACTATATTTATTCCTTAGGTCTTTTATAATGATTATGATTACTCACTCTTTCTGCTTGGAAATGTTGCCTCTATACATGGACAACTTGCAGGTGATCAGGATTAGTGAATTGAAGTTTAGAGGATTAGCTTCGGAGTGCGTTTTTTGTTTCCGTTCATTTTTAGAAGATCTTGTTCTGATATATAACATCGGAGTTGAGAACATTTGATTTTTAGAATGATTATGTTCTTTCGTTATTTTGAGATTTTGAATGTATCTTTCTTGGTGGTTGAAATGTCTTGATTTGTGAAGCAAACATAATAGATTCGTGATGGATTTGTTTTGAAGTATCTTTATTAAAGATGTTTTTGAAGCTATGATTCTGCTGCAATGATTTTGAATTTGATATATGATGATACGAAAGAATTAGTAGATTTAGATGTTTTGAAAATCAGTGTTACAGAACAATATGTTTTATATGAGACTTTTATAAAGATGTGACATATTTATTAATGATTTTATTTGATTTAATTTCATAAAATAGATGTGAAATGTATATAGATTTAGAAAGGTGTTACACTACTTCCCTGTAAGTAATCTCCTGAAAGATTATTGACGTAGCATGTGGTCAGGGGTGTGTAAAAAAACCGGTTATCCATAACCAAATTGATATCTAAATTGTTTCAATTTTTAAAACCCAACTCAAATACTAAAATCTGGATTTGGTGACCCATTTATAATATAAATGGTAAACTGGAACCCATAAATTTTGTTATTGGGTATCCAAATATCATTCTCATTAAATTTTATGCTTTCTAAAAAAATAAGCTTCGTATATTTTGAAACACTGTTTAATTCATTTCAAATAAATGACCATAAAATAAGTTTTTCAATCGTGTTATTATATTGTTTTTACCGTGTTCCTATTATCTCAGTTTTGTTGTGGGTTCTTGGTGGTTTGCAGTGTTCTTTTACATGCATTATATTTGTACTGGTTTAGTTTCTTTTCGGTCTTCATAATTATTGATTAGTTTGTTTGAGTTTCATCATTTAAAATATGGATCATTTTATTAAAATATTTATGTGCAGAGACTTTATTCTGGTTTTATTGGTGGAACTTGTGCATGTTCTATACCGTGCATGAAAAGTGCAAGTGAAATAATAATATATATGATATACTAAAACCGGTTTAAAATTTGTTTTTTTTTAAATTGGTTTTTGTGAGAAATTGGTTCAAAACCGAACCGATCTACTTGTAAACCGGTTTTAAATATATAAATCGGTTTTAATGAAGTAGTTTTAAGATTCAAACCAAACCATATATATGGTTCAATTTGGTTTGATTATTAATCCATGCACACCCCCTACATGTGGTGATGTTGTTTTAACTGTATGTCCTGATTCTCGTTGATTCTTCTCCTCTTTCTAGAATTCACTGTGGTCCTTCTGTCACGCTCTGTGACACTCTCCATTGTGATTTCCATTTTTCTTTCCTTGCATATATTGGTTGCAAAAACAATTTAAAACGATGCAAAATAGTTTGACACATTCATGAGTCTTTTCATTGCCTTTGAAGTTTTTCTCAAGACAAGTATCATCATGCCATTCCTCGAACTATAAATAAACAAAATTTAAATCAAAACTTTAAATTAAATCTAGGAAGTAGGAACCTCAATCATAATAGTAAACTTATGTAATTATGAAATCAGAAATTTTTTCAATAAAAAACTTATTTTCATCCACACCCAATATCAATCATAATATAAACCTCAATCATAATTTTTAATCTCAATCATTATAAACTAATCGACTTGAAGAACGTTCTTCAACATCAACATCACCTTCATCTACAACACCCATTGTCCCCTTATTCCCATCCTTAGTTAACCTTTTTGAACCAACCCGGCCCAACAAAGACGGACCACAACTAAACCCACTCCGGTCCAGCCGGCTCTCCACATTGAACCGCTCGTATCTTAAAAAACTCCTCCCCACACTACTCGTTCTAAAACCCCTTCTCTCACTCTGTAATGCCATTTCCACCCCCAAACTTTTCGACCGGTTGAATATCCTGTCATTCACAAGCCTATCATGAACCTCATCCGGCAATCTCAATGTGAACCGCTCGCAATCTTCACTCGACCGAACAGTTAACTGGCCCATCGAGTTAGACCGGGAGAACAATCTCGCAAACATTAAACCCATTGACTTCGACCGAACCGGTTTATTCATGGTTCCATCTAAATTCACCCCTGGAGCCACTTTTACTATCTTTGTCTTGTCATTGTCACCCACATCAACCGGTTCAATCAAAGCCGGTTCATGGTTTAAACCCGGTTCATTCAAATTGTTTTCAATATCCGAGATCTGAATCAGAATTGAAGAAGGCGACAACTCCTCTTTCGGATCGGGAACAAGATCGGCTCGACAAACCGGACACGTGGAGTGATGCAACAACCACGCATCAATACAGTCGCGATGGAACACGTGGCTACAAACCGGAATCAAACGCAGCGTTTCATGATCTTCAAACTCGTTCAAGCACACGGCGCATTCTAGCGTAACTCTTCCAATTTTCAGATCCTTAACCTCAGAATAAACAAAGTTGGGAAAATTGTCGATGGTCTTCGAATCGAGTCCGTACGGTCGTCTGTCACCGTCGCCGCCGTTGATCGGAACAGCGAGATCGATTCTCCCTCTGATCCGTTGCTCTCTGCATTGACGAGTGTAGATGGAAATGAAGCCGAGAGTGAAGAAAACCGCGACGAGGAGGATAAGAATCGACGCCATAGTCTTATCCAAACTCATCCTCGAGAATGGATCTCGCAACGGCGGCGGTGGTGGAGATAGAGGCTGAGGAGGCTGAGCGGATGCCGGAGAGAATAAAGAAAGATAAAGGAGTAAGAGAGGTGCAGGGAGTTTGGTGTGGAAGCGCATAGTGGATCATGAGATGAAGTGAGGGTGAGGAAAGAATAGTGATGGGTGATTATATTGTAATAGTAAGAAGACTGGTTCGTCCTAAAGAGTAACGTAAAATGTAGAATGAGTGAATGAGAAGCTGAGGATTTCAATGATGGATTGAAGTGTTTTTTGTTTTTGGTGTATAGAGTTGGAGTGTAGCAGGCTTGTTTTTCATTTTATTTTTAACTTTCCTGTTTCTTGTGAGAGAAACAAGAAAATCAATTTGCGTGAGACACACTTCACGTTTTGTTTTGTAAAGAAAAAATAGAAAAAATAGAAGAAAAAAAAGTAATTTATTTTTAATGCGTTGTCATAAAATTCGATCTTAAAAAGGAGAGTAATTAAATTCCTCTTAATGGTACGTACCTAATACCAATGAATAGCGCGCTAAAACTATTTTTTATTCCGTTATAATTCTCTATCATCTATATAATATAATAAATTCAATAATTAAATATTATAACAAAACATTATCAATTATAATTCTAAAATTTGTCGGATCATCTTATAAATTCAAACTTATAAGTTCAAACTTTCACAAAGACGGAATAACATAATAACAAAATATCACACAAAAATGATATGAAGATTACGAGTTCAAACTCTCGCAAAGACGAAATAACATAATAACAAAATACCACACAAAAATGATATGGAGATCACGAGTTCAAACTCTCGCAAAGACGGAATAACATAATAACAAAATACCACACAAAAGTGATATGGAGATCACAAGTTCAAACTCTCGCAAAGACGGAATAACATAATAACAAAATACCACGCAAAAGTGATAAGGAGGTCACGAGTTCAAACTCTCGCAAAGACGGAGTAACATAATAACAAAATACCATGCAAAAGTGATAAGAGAATTCAAACACAATAATATATTTTTTTATTTTCCAGAAATATAACTATAGCAATAAAAGTATGGAGCTTTTATTACACAATTGACTTCTTCAAAGAAGTCACTTTAATCATTCAATAGAAAAAAAATCATAATCCACATCAGTTTTATGGTAGAGTAACTTTAAAGTGAGTCCATTTTAAAATAAACTTTTAATGATTGCATATCAGTTCTCATTCAATTAATAATATTTTACGAATTAAAAATAACTCGTCTTCTTCTTCGTTTTTCTTCTTCGTTCTTCTTCCAACTTCTCAATTCAATAATTCGAAATTGCAATTTAAAATCCTAAATCCCTAAATTCCACCTACCTTTTCTTGGAACTCCTTCTACATCATTCTCCCAATTTTGACCTATTCTGTAAATCCAAAATTCGTATTCAATTGCTTCCCTCCCACATAATTTCATAATTGTGTTCATGTTCGATGTTTAGCATTGAGAGTAAATGTTCGCGTAGTTCGTATTGGTTACATTTTTTATCGGATCGTATATGGTTCAAAGGAATGATTCCATGTTGTCGTCTCCTTTCACAGGTAATTGTTCATATCCATCCCAATATGTATATTTTCCCAAACTCAATTAGATTTTACATTTTATACTTAAATTATTGAATTGGGTTTAAGGATTTGTATTTTAAGTTGAAGTTGATTAGAAATATTACCAGAAATAATTGATTTGGGTATTAAGTTTGTATCTTATGAAATTCAAATTTTTTGAAATGGATTTGAATTCCTACCCTGAAATTATGTAATTGGAGATTAGGGCTTGTATCTATGAAATTAATTAATTCTATAATTGAATTGAATTAACCAGAAATTATGTAATTGTGGATTAGGGATTGTATTTTATTGTATTCATAAATTTAGAAATTGCATTTGCATTGAATAAATTCGTTCAATTGAATCTTTAGGGTTTGACCTACATTCTCATTTATCTTGAGAGCATCATTAATGCATTACATGCATCACGATATTACATAAAGCTAATTTTGTCTTTTTAGGTAAAATTCGCAAACAAACGAATATCATCAACAATTTTCAAACAGGTTAGAGATTAATTTCTGAAATAGGACGGGACAACTATTTATATGTCCAGGCGGTATGAATTCCCGAAACAGGACATGTTTACCAACAAAAAATAGGGTCATAAATTAGTTCCCGAAACAGGACGGGGCAACGATCTATATGACCAGGCGGTATGAATTCCCAAAATAGGACAGGTTTACCAACAAAAAAGCGGGTCAAAGATTAATTCTTGAAACAGGACGGGACAACTATCCATATGACCAGGTGGTATAAAATCCCAAAATAGGACCAGTTTACCAACAAAAAATAGGTTGTAGATTAATTCTCGAAACATGACGTGGCAACTATCTATATGACCAGGTGGTATGAATTTTTGAAACAGGACGGATTTACTAATAAAAAACAGATTGTAGATCAATTCCTGAGTGGGGAGGGGTGACTATCTGCATGACCAAATGATTTCTTTCGGAGATTGAATTCTAAAAACATCTTCCTTCAGAGACTGAATTCTGACGATCATTCCCCTTTAGAAATTTATTATGAAAAGCATTCCCCCCAGAGACTGAATTTTGGCGAGCAGTTTCCTTCTAAAAAACATTCTTCAAATACAGTCAGGCGTAGACTCATTCTGGTACTCCTATCAACAGTTACTTCGGATGGCATCTTTAAGCCCATCCTCGAAGACATTCTATCATCTCTCTGAATGGCATCTTTAAGCCCATTCAAGCAATACTATCAACCAACAGATCACAAATTTCTGGGCACTTAAGTGTTCAATCCTCTTCCACATTCAGATCACGAATGGCAGATGTGCCAATCTAACTCTTCAGGTTCAAGAATATTGAACAAGGACAGTTGTTATACCCTAAAATTTTCCCTCCCATTTTTTTCAAGATATCTCCTCATTCTCCTACGGTTTTCAATTGCTCAAGGCTACTCAAGGTTTGATCAGACAAATTCTCCTCCTAAGCAGTTGGCCTACAACTAGGGTTTCACTTTTCTCAAGGAAATTTGAGCTTATAATGCCTCAAGTGGATTTTATGGTTCCTCATATGTCTCAAGGAATGCTGATGCCAAATTTCAAGCATTGTATCACAATTTTACTCAGTCAATTGCTCAAATGACTAAAAATCAACTATATTGGACAAAAAGTCAATTGTGGTCAACATGCAGCCAAACTTCAAGATTTTTGGTCAACATCAAGATTTTTAAGTCACATTCATCATTTGATCAAGGGTTGATCATGATTTATCAAGAAAACTCAAGATTCATCAAAAGTTAAAAGTTACTAAATTAGGGTTTTCTTAAGGAGAAGTCAACTAAACTTTGACCAAGCATAAATTTCACATACTTCATTAGAAAATTCTCAACCAAAGCTCTTTTTAAAGGAAATTCAATTCTATACAACTTTGTCTCTCTAAGCTCAAGTAAAAAAAATGCTTCATTTGAGAGATATGGGCCAAAACGTTATAAGTCATTTCAAAAGTTAACAAAAACACACTTTTTGTCAAGGCAACTTACATTAAGATAAAGTCTTCAAATGAAAAAATGATCAACATAGATATTGTAGAGGACCCATTGATCTTTCCAAAAAATCTAAGATCACCTTCATATGATAAAAATTAAGAATGTTATGATTGGTGCAAGTTGGATAATTTTGAGAAAATGCATGAAACCTAAATTGAGCAAACTTGAGTTTTTGGGCTAATGGGCTGATCTTTAAAGGACCAAACTATTTTTAAACCTCATAGTGAACCTATGAATCCATTCATACACCCCTTGGATTTTTATTCTATTTTTTATTTTATTTATTTAAAATTCAAAATAAATTAAGTAAATAAGAGGCTTTCATACAAAGGTCCAAACCCACTCTTGTTTGACCTAATTCTTCTCTATATATCCCACATATTTCAGACAAGACAAGCACGAAAAACCTTGCAAGATCGTCTTTCAAAAAACTCCAAAAATCATCCAAACTAGGGAAAATCGAAACCCTGCCTTCAAGCCTCCCTCAAGGCCAAATACCTGTCCACTTCAATTCAGAAGCACTATAGGATAAGATTTGATCGATTGTGATGATCCAAAGGGTATAAAACAAGCATACATGCATTGTCGGTCTTGGTTTTTTCATAAAATTCATACTGTCATTTTCATGTTGTTTTAATGCATACTAACCTTATTAATATGCTTCTGAGATGTTAATATGCAGGATTGAACCATCGCATGGCCCTCATAATGGCTGAATCATGTATTGTCATGTTTGATCTATTTCATGTTATTTACGCTGTATCTCATCATACAAGATGATTTAGCCAAAACAAATGGCATTATTGAACTCGCAAGGCCCAAATTAGAGGGTAGGGTACCATTGAATCACTGATGTGCTTTATTTTTGCAGGGATAAAAAGAGCTCGCGGGAGAAGACGATCAGAGCTAGGGCTCCGACGCCTCTCTGGTCCAAGAAGTAATGTTTATTTTATAATTAATTAGTTTCAGTGATATATCAGATGAAACAACCACCTTAGTGGCAAGCACGCGCATGATAAGACATTCATGTACCAGGGCATGGGTTCGGTCCCTGCCTTTTGACATTTTATTTTTTCATATTTTCCAATTCTTGCAGGTTCATTACATGTTGCGCTGATTCCATTCTCCTAACACAGGCGCGCGTTTGGTGCAGTGGAAAGGAATGTTGTTGAAAGGGAAAAGAGCGTGGGTTCAACACCCACTGTTGTACCCCAATTTTTGCCCCTAGGATTCCTTCATCATACCATATTGTTTCAATCACAACAAGATCACATCAGGGTTTTTGGTTCTTCTCCCTATCTTTTGCCCTGCTCTTTTGAGGAGTTACCAAGCACCTAGACTTGTTTTCTTTTGTGATCATGGATATTTTGCTTTGATTTTCTCTCTAATTAACAAAACACAATATTGGTTTGTCTTACTTGTTAATAATATAGGTAAAGGCAATGAGGTTTAGCAAGTTGCTTCATGGGTTCATGAGTTTATTTCCATGCCCTAGTCAATAGATTGAGAAATTCGAAACT